TCGGAGCAGCGGTGGGCGGAGTAGTCGGGGCTGTAGTGGGAGTCTTAGCACCAGCAGCAGTGATAGCTCTGAAAAATAAATGCTCTGTGCAATAAAAGAAGAAGGCCACTGCATTTACATGGCCAGTGTGCTGAAGAACAGAAAAGCACTGACCAAAGAACTGACACAGCTTCCTGTCACATATCAACATTATGGTTACTTTGTGGTCTGATATAGGAAAGCGTAAGTTAAAGCTGCACTGATGTGTAAGGGGAAAGAGATCAATCGTAGTGACAAATGCAGAGATAATTATCACAGCCTCTGCACTTCCTCTCAGCTTGATGGAGCACTGTAGTTTCTCTCAGTTATTTTTTTTTGGATTTACAGCCCACACATTAACTTTTTTTGGGGGGGGGGGCTTTTATGCCTTTAATGAAAGAATGACACGCAGCAAAGGGCCGCAGGCTTGAACTGAACCCGCGGCTGCTGCAGTAAGGAAGAATCCTTTTTTATCTGAGGTGCCTGCTTTATCCACTAAGCCATCGACGCCCCCACATTGACTGTTTTGGTTCACTTTCATGTTTCAATGCCCTGTACCTGCACAAAATTAGATTTTGGTTGTGTAAAAGCCAAAAGAGGTGTTTCCCCCAGGAGCTGGTGGAGACCAAACCAGAGCTAACAGCAGAATATTGGACTTATATATGTCAGATGGACAGAAAAACAATTCCAAATGAATGCTAATACTTCTTAGTGTCTTCTCAATGTGCAAATAGTTTAATTAATGAATGTTTAAGGCAGTCTTTTAGTTATATACTACAGCTGCTGAATACCTTTGTACTCTGTAGTTTTACAGCCAAAATACATGGAGAATGGGCGCGGTGCAACATGTTTGCCGCAGCATGTCGCACATGCTGACCATGGACGCTAATTTTACATGGCCCTCCAACAAGTAAAAACCACTTTAGGGTGGCAGTAGCTCTGCCCATAGGGACTTGGGTTGAGAACTGGACGGTTGCCGGTTCAAGTCCCCGTATGGACCACGTATAGAGCGTGGACTGGTGGCTGGAGAGGTTCCAGTTTGCTTCCTGAACCCCCAACTGCCTGGGGAGCCTGTCCATGGGCAGCCCCCTCACTCTGATATCACTCCATTTAATGTATGTATAGGTTCTTTTTGTGCATGTGTGTGTATTTCCGGCCTGTGTGTATATGACAACAGAGTGAAAAAATCAGTTTCCCCTTCAGCCTCAGGGATTAATAAAGTAAATCTTCTTCTAAAACTTATTAAAAATTGAGTACAATCTGTTTAAATATGGTTGGGATAAATACCTCATTGTGGCATAGGCAATGTGTTGCAGCAGAGCACCCTTGTGGGTTTTTATATTTCACATTAAAATAAATCAATCAAATCAATGCATCCTATGGTTAAAACAATGCAGTTGATTAATTCAGTCGCAATTCAAATAGCCTAGCTTCCAAACCCTGCATAATCAACTGCATTAGCACCTGGCAAAACTCAATATGCACACAGTATGGTATGCAATCACATGCTACCAAGTCTGTGGCCGAAAAAACCCTGCCTATGTGACACGCTGCACCCATGCCCCACACATTTTGGCTGAAGAAGACTTTCTGTTTATATTTTTTACTGTGTGTGTGTGTGTGTGTGTGTGTGTTCCCTCAACAACAAACCAAATTTGTGCACAGTGAAAGCAGACAAAAAGCAGCTTTTGAAAGTTAGTCATCTGTTTGCATGTGTGTGCGTGTGTGTGTGTGTGTGTGTGTGTGTGTGTGTGTGTGTGTGTGTGTGTGCGTGTGCGTGTGTGTGTGTGTGTGTGTGTGTGTGTATCTGCGTGGGAAGCCTTCGGGGGACAAGTAACAGTCAGCATTTTTAAAAAGTGTCTTTGGCTATGAAGTGGCTGCGATGACATCAAAGTGTTTTTTCTATCTATGTCAAAAAGCAGTTTCAGGCAGATGGGAAGTGGATGTGTAAAGAATTGCACACAATGAGCGGAAACACTGCAGGCAAATCCACATTGGACAGCACTCCTGTGTAATACACACATACAATGCACACTAATGTACAAACTGTAGTGGGGTAATGGTTTAATATGTGTGGAAAAAATAAAACAGCACTGTCAATGACCTGTCTCTTAGTCCACATTTCTCATCTTTGTGTCTCTTTAGTTCAAAATGACTTTGTGTCTCACTCTCTGCTGACAGCTGGACTCACTGGCCCTCAGGGAAAATGACCATCTCTCCTCCAATGGACTGTATTGTGCACAGAGGAGCTACACATCACTCTGACGCTGCATATGCCTACACACTCACACAGGGTGCATAAATGTAGAGTCATTTTCTCGCTCTTACTTGTAACACACACACACACACACACACAAAGGCCACAACAAGAACTATTTTAAGGGGTTTTCTCATGCGGTAGTAATTGTTCCAAAGGCCACAGAGTACAATAGAGGTCTACAGTTAACAGCTTGGTGTGCTGTGACATTAGAGACACGTAAGTGGCTTGGGGTGAATCTGTCTTTGGAAATTAAATTCAGCAACTCAGACGAGCTCATTTTAAGCACAGACAGGAAGAAAAATGCAGTGTGCATGTGTGCTTGAGCAATACTGCATTTTGTGTGCATCCTAATGTAGTGTATATATGTAGGATTTTTGTTTCAAATGCCATTTATACCAACAAGAAAATGCACTTTATACACCGAACAGTAGTCCCAGACAGTAACGTAATATTGTTGTGTACATGTTGAGACTTACAGTACCTCCATCATTGTGTTTTAATGCACATTCTTTATTTGCACATAAAAAAAACCCGGCATGGACACGTTGAAATTTCACCAAAAAAAAAAAAAAAAAAAATGTCAGAAAAACTTTTTTTAACTCTTGGTTGAGGTAGAAAAGCAAAGCAAACTGCCACAGTGCAATGGAAACAAAGTCATTGATATTTTTTCTGTGTTATTGTAGTATTGAATTGTACATTGTACATTGTATTGGTTGCTGTTTCCTGTTGCTCTGAATGGTTTGAGAATACTTATGTTGTTGTTGCTGCTGCCATCTTGTTGTCTTCTGTCTGTCTAATTTTTAATTAGCACTTTATTGGTTTCAGAACATGTTGCCAAAACACTGCAGTTTAACATGAGCCAGCTGGCTAACACTGGCACATTCACATAAATATTGGTTAATGTGTTTTTCTTACGACTCAATTAACGAAATTAAGTTAAAACACTGATGCTTTTGCTCCACTTGAGAGAAGAAATGAACTGGGTGCACCGGAAATCTTTCTTAAAATGATATACAAATTTTATAGAAATGCCATTCACACTGTTTCTGTTTTCGCTCTTTTTTTTGTACCAAAAATAACCTCCTTTACTAGCAGAGAAAAAATAATAAACCCATGATAAACCTCTGTCCTTGTATCAGGATAAATCTAAATAACAATGAACCACACTTTAGGGAGCAAAGAAGTCACTTTCATCTGCAATTTCAACTCTCTACTGGATCCAACATCAAACAATGTCCTATCTATGTAGACCAGTAAAGACGGTAAAATGCAGCAATTCACAATTGCCTTAGTGCATGTTACATACTCAGTATATATAACAATGTACATCAGTGGCATTTCACATTCAACACTCTCAGTTATACATAACGTTCCTGGAGTATAATCCACAAAATGATGCTGGTACCTTGTTGAACTTGTAAAACTGTTACAGGGTTTCACATCAAGGAAAAAAAAAAGTGTCATCTGACTGAAAACGTGGTTGGACTGTAACTATTCAACAAATCTTCGTACAATGGTTCATATGATAGCGAACAAAATTGCACATTCAATGGTTCATATGATGATTGGCGCTTTTTTAATTGCATCATCTTTTTTGCGGGTGACTTGTGCCACCAATGCACTTAGATCCTAATAGTGGCATAACAGTAGTGGATGGAAACTTGGCTTAAGATACTGCTATCGTAGTTAGGTTGGAGGGTTTGATCCTGGAGAAAGTTTGTTTTCCTCTAACCTCTATCAAGCGGCGTTTAGTTCCCTTATATCAACCAATGTTTATACAATTCTGATATCATTTTTGGGTCATTTCTGAAGGCACAGACACCTTCTTTAATGATAACTTTGCAGTCCTCTTTAATTATGTGGATAAAACAGATGGATGGATTTTAATACGGCTGCTTACTCGACACTATGGTTAACACATATGTATCATGAAGTGCCCCTCACCCACCATACAGCCTACAAATTCATACAAAGAGCCAGATGGATAATGAGGTTAGGTTGCTCCTTGACAAGATGTGTTTGCTGACATTTGCTACTGGGAATATATATATATATAATATTAACATAAAATTGCCAAATAGTCAAAGGCTACATACTGTAAATCTTTCTCTGTACCACTTTCTAATGAGACATATTTTACAGATTGTTGATGCATTGTAACTAATGGCTTTACTAAAAGTGATTGAATTAATTATCAGTGCTTTGTTTAAGACACTAATAAGATCACATTTTGCATTGCTAGAATATAAGAAGCTGAGTTTCCTCATGACTCTTTCTCTCTAATAAGCTTTTAAGTCTGCAGTTATAAATAAAAGATATGAGACATTAGAGGATGATTTATTAATCATAATAAATCCATTAGTTTTAACTTCTAAACCCTTTATGAGCTTCAGCTGGATGCAAGAGAGTCAAAGACAGAGGAAAACACAAAGTTAACTTTAATGTCAATTTTCAGATGGAGCTAAATAATTCAGAGATTACAAAGTTCATTGAAAAGTAAGCGGGTGCCAAAAGAGCTTACATGCAAAAGGCACACCACCATCAATAATTCTGCAGGGTTTGCCTAGCATGCTTCCAGCACAAGTTTACCCCTGCCCCCCCTTCCTCCTCGCAACATACACAACCATACAGAAGGAGAGAGGGAAGTGCTGAGTGAATAAACTCTTCCATGAAGCATGAAAAGCGCTCATTGTGTCATTATGTAGCACATCCACCACCACACTCATCTAGCGAAGCACAGCAGAGCAGTTTCAGAGACCTTCCTCATAGTCTTTCTGTTGCTTTTTGAAATTTTTTATTTATTTTTGTTGCTGTCTGTAGTCTTACTTTTACACACTCAAGCTGGCAACCATCGATCCAGGGATAATGGAGTTATCGCTGATGGCAGCACAGGTAAGGAATTGAAAAATACATTTACTTCTAAGCAATGAAATCCAAATTCTTCTTTTTGATTTTTTGTCTTTGTTAAGGAGGAGCAACGTGCTGGATTACTGTACTAGGGCAGTGTAACATTATTGTTTTCTGTTATACTGTAAGTAAACCACCTAACCAAGCTCAGTAAAGGACAGTAGAGCTAATGAGTTGTTATGGTCTTTAAATTTACCTGTGTGCTTTAATTTCTTTTGCATTCTTCTGCTTTGACTTTCTGAGATTTGTGACGTATTTGCTGATATTTGCTGCTTTGTGACAAAGTATTTAGAGTCCACAATCTCACAATAATCATGAAATAATTCATGTCAGATAAATCTGATACGAGACAAGACACAATGTAGATGCTGCAGCGTCTATTTTTATCAGGAAGAGAGTGCAAACATAATGACTCGGTAGTGAAACATAGCTGCACGTATTGAGTCACAGGAGCATAAGAAAAGTTTTTGTGCATTTGTAACACAATTACGTTGAGGATATACATGCAGAGATGACAGACTGCAATGTTGCTTATCAAAATAAGACACGAAAGCAAGGACTCGTGCTTTATTTGGACAACTGAGTCACTGTGAAGCTGCTTCTTCGCAGTCCGCCTGTCTTTTTAACAACTTGCATCCATTGGTTACAGTTTGCATTTTAACTTCTTAACATTTTAAAGTTTTACAAAGTGGTCAAGCGGCTCCTATTTTCCTCGCTTCTGTTGCTCACTGCATATATTCATAATATTTTAAAGATTTGTCTGCTAGTGTCAAAACAGTTTGCAATTAAAGAAGTAACACAACAGTAATAAAGGGTTTTCAGTTTTTTAAAGCATGCATTATACACATTTTTTCATGTTGTACACCACTAATATAATGTAAGAAATTGTAATTGTTCCTGTTATCTGCAAAGAAAACTGCACGACAAACCAGATAAAGCGATTCTTCTGTTGTGTGTTTGCTGGTGTGTTTGTTTCCTCCAATCACAGCTAATGCAGTAGTCTCATCGACTCTCTTGCTCTGTATCGTGGCAAAACACTCGTGTCCCATTTTCTGCCTGTTTTTTCTCTCTCTGTCTCCTCTGACCTATGATGCTGAGCTTTAACTAGCCTGAGGGAACAGCTTTATGTTACAGCCGAGGTCCCTTTGCGAGGTGTAGAGTGATGCAGCCTATGGATACGTTTTGAAAGTAATTACTCCACTGTAGCTTTCAAGTGCATGCACAGTTAAATCCCTGCTTTTACTGCACTGAATCACTTTATTGCATGAGAATGTTTTTTTTTTTTTTTATCTTGGCAGAAGAAACAACATGGGTAATGGCTTAGTGAGGGAAATGGTTTATTACAGCTATGGTTTTAGATAAGCAAAGTTTTTGAGAATATTTATGTCTGACATAAAACATAGAAAATGCAGTATCATATAATTTTAATGGCACAAATACTTTGAGTATGTTCACTGACAGACACAAATAACGCTAACCTATCTGACCATATCACCTAATGGAAATAAGATATTTCTTGTAAGTGCGTTTGTATTCTGGTCCAACTGAATTGAGGGCGGTTTCAAGTTGAAGCCAAACACTAATTGGTGTTATTGAGACTGAGCTTATACTGTGCTACTACTTCTGCATAATTTAATATGACAGTATTCTACTGTAGATTATTAGACTGCTGATGACAATTCGATCACATCTGAATTCCCGCTTGTCAGTCAGCTCGCCAATGAGCTGCCTGCTTAAAGATATAACATGATTAAAAGATTGAAATGTCTAAAACAACGAGATGAATGGTATATGTATTTGTTGAGTTGTATACTTACATTATCCTAAATAATGTTTCCAATAATGTTCAAACCCAGAGAAATCTGTAATTTTAATCAAGGACACAGTCTGTGTTATTTGGTTGCTGTCGCCTGTCAGTGGCGTCATATCCTCTTTGCAAAATCGTCATCATAAATTTACTTTTCATACAGTTTAAAGCCACATTTTTACAATAAACTTTATCAATCTTGGTTGTTTTTAACTTAACCTGATGAAGGATTTCAGTCATCGAACATCAGGAAGGTCACTCCCATGCCAAACAGCATTGGAGAAACACAGATTTTTAACATGAAACTGCTTTATTCAGCATTTTTAGTGGTTTGAATCACCAGGTCCATTTGTTTTGGAGAGGGAGAGACCTTTGCAGATAATTCGGCTCTTGGTAAAAACCTCCTGAACATCTAGATCTTAACTTATTAGAGAACAAAGGGAGCCTGGATTAGCAAATGCTGGGCCAGCAGCCCCTCTGCGATGAGCCAAATAGTGTCGGAAAAACACTGATTTTGAAATGAAACTGCTTTAATCAGCTGGCCCCTCTGTTTTGGAGAGGAGGGGACCTCTGTGGATAATTCAGCTCCCCATAAATACCTCCTAAATGATAAACACTAAAGGAATCCTAACTGGGAAAGCAGACTACAGTGACAGCCTTGCTTCATCTTTTGTTACTGTTTGACTGATCCCTCACTCCTAGTGGCAGAAAATTACACATTGTATGTTTAAAGGCTCTCTAAGTCTTCCTAAGCTTGAAAAGTTTTTGTCACATACAACAAATATCTCCTCACGATCCGCTAGCAGCTAGCGGCTAGCTACATGTCCTCTGAATATGCTGTGAAAAAGTCTGGTCTCTGTAGGCAGCCCAGGCTCCGCAAATGGCAACAAAAACACTTCACTTCTGTTTACGTTCAACAATGTTATCAAACAACGTAGCTAGCTCGCCTTTTAGCTTCATTGTAGCCTGACATGGACACCGCGTTCATGTGCGTGTGCTTGCTTTCGCTGGTCTTGCGCTGGCTGGTTAGTGCAGCCTGGACCACAATGTTTTTGTTGCCATTTGCGGAGCCTGGGCTGCCTACAGAGACAGGACTTTTTCACAGAATATTCAGAGGACATGTAGCTAGCGGATCGTGAGGAGATGTTTGCTGTATGTGACAGAAACTTTTCAAGCTTAGGAAGACTTAGAGAGCCTTTAAGTGTGAAATTATGCTATTGCCCATTTTTGCAGACTAACAGCTTGAGCTTTCATATGTCAAACCTTTTATGACATTATGTCAGGATTAATGTTAAATAACAGAAAGGAACCTAAAAGATGTCTTACAGCACGACACATGCTGCAGTCCTAGTGTGCAGATATACCTGTTTCCTACAGTGTACTCTGTCCAGCTGAGCAGATGTGATGAGAAATCTCCTATGATAACCATCTGCACAAAGGTACTAAATCAGCTAACCCTCTGTGCAATAACACACTTATGTGACAGCAAAAGATGCTTCAGTCTTCTCAAAAGTTTTCCACATGCAATTTGTGAGTTATAGGTGCTATTATGTCTCTGTGTATAATGTTCCTGCACAGAAATCATCTCCTATTTTAAGTCTCTAGATTGAGCAGCATTCCCCTTTAATTCCCTGAATGCTGTCATTGAGGCTGTCTACTCCAGACGTGAACCCTGTCCAGCTGAAGGAGTTTGATGGAAAGCCTCATCTGATAGCCATCTGTTCTCAGATAGTTAATCAGGTGTGCTCAATGTGTGGTCCTTAATCACCCAATGCTAACTGTCTCTGCGCTCTCTGCAGTCGACGCCTCAGTGCTCTCACTGAAGAAGCCATGCACCTTCAAAACTTTGTTTCGCAGTAAATTGAAACAATATGTTTTTTTTTGTGCAGCTGAAAGGCTCAAGGGTCACTGAAATGCATTGTGGGTCGGATAATTAAGGTATGTTTTCATGCAGCAGCAGTACAGTCAGCATATTTGCATTAAATTGCGTCCACTGCGTTTAAAAACCTATTTCTAAGATCTTGAGATTTTTCTCTGTCATCTCAGTTATCACACAGATGGTAATCTTGTTTCAGGCACTGATGAAATGTACTTGAGCGAGACACAGGGAGTAGTGGCTGACCTTGTGTCAATGACCGGGTTCTCCTTCTTTCTATCCCAAGCCTCCTTTTTTTCTGGGACTGAATGCTAAATTGGTCTTAATTAACTCGTGTCCATCAAAGTGTGTGTGATAGAGAGTTAGGTCAGATTACCATCTGTTTAAGAGTTTATCAGGTACTTCTGGGGGTCGTCTCTGTGTCACAGACAGCAGATCTGATCCATCATGAGCAGCTCTTCCTTACAGTAAAACCAAAAAGTGTGTGTGTGTGTGTGTGTGTGTGTGTGTTAGAAAAATACAACAGATACACTAGGTTTTCTTATATTTATATGAAATTAGAATTACGCTGGAGCCACAGTTAAGTTGACACACAGTATTGTAGGATTTTAGAGCAAAACCATGTTCTTCATGAAGTTTATTTTTATTTTTACTTTTTTTATTTTGTGATCAAATGTATTTAATTTAATTTAATTTAACTTAATTTAATTTTTAATTTAATGTAATTTTTTTTGGCAAGTGACAGGTGACTTACAAATCAGAAGTTTCACTGATTCAGCTTATTTTAGCTAACACAAGATCAATACAATACAAATGCTACAATACTCTCTGAGTATCTCTGAGTATACTTACATCTACAAGCTCAGGACATGCTGCTTGAATATACTTATCTTTTTGTAACACAAACAGTACTGATATCAGCAGAATGATGCTGAAGTCAGGAAGTCTGAAGTTCAGGCCCATTAAAAACAACTAGAGTCCAGGAGCAGCTGGAATAGCTGGGTCACGCAAACTTTTGATTAATCAGATCTTGAGGTGTTGATCTAGAATAGGGATGTCTATGTTTGTACCTTGTTACTAGCCACACAAGTGGGGCTGGTATTGTTTTCACCTTGTGTGTGTGTCACCACATCAATGTGGTCCTGGACCCACCTACTGTAGTGGGTACTATCACAGACGCAGTTTTGAGAACATTACCAAGTGTTTACATGTCTGCACATTTGTCTGTGGACAGACTTTTGATTACATTGCAACCATGCAAGATGCAGTCACAAAACTTGCCAGGTATGTAGTTGAGATCAC